TTTCGTAGATATGAAAGGAGTAAATAAAATGTGATTTTTATCAAAAAAAAAAAAAAAAAGACAAATACATCAAATTCTTTTCAACGAATTTTGTTGAAAATTTTCGGAACAAAAATTTTTCTCGTTATGTCATCGATGATGTCGCAGCTCGAGTACTTTATGATCTTTTTTCGAGAGAACAAACGGCAGGCGGCCACGAAAAACCGGCCGAGTCGTTTTTGAACGGTAAACCAGCAAATCGGCCGATCTGTACAATGGGGCGAAAAATGAAACTCTAGAGGGGACCCTGGTCGAAAGGAGCGCAACCGAAGAACGGAGACTCATAAAAAGGGTACTAACGCCACGCAAGATGATCCCATGTCGAGATGACGACGCCCTGGCGCCCTGATTCTCGACACCTTTGACAGCGCTCCATAAAACCTACTCACAGCTAAAATATACGTATCTTGGGCGGGTTCGATTTTTTTACCTGCGTGTGGATCGAGAGAAGACTGCAGTTGCACGCGATAACGTTTAGATGCGATTCAAACGAGATTCAATTATCGGAATCGTAAATCGATTTGATTTGTCGTGCATTAAATGTAATCTCGAAAAGGGAATGTTTCAATATTTTGCGATCTGATAAATCCGAGATGTATTCGCGATGGGAGATCCCGTCGAAGGTAATGTTTCAGTATCGTCTAATGATCCTTAATCATCGTAAAGCCATCTTTGACGCACGCGAGATAAATTTAATAGTAACCATTAAACAAGCGAACGGGAATATATCTCAGCCATGTATATCCTATACTTCAAAGCACACACATGGTCCATAGAGAAGCGGGACAGGTCGTTTGGCGAGTCGCGCCGCGAGAATAAATGATCTCCGCGAGTCGAATCCAAGACGCAACTATCTCGCCCTCTCCACCCCTCCGACCGAGCGTCCGTTCGCGGAGAAATACGTCGAATAATAAGAATGCAATTACAAAATTAAATGAGGTCCCTATAAATACGCGTTGGTAGAACGAACGGCGTCGAGGAAAAGAGGAGAAAGAGAGAGAGAGAGGGAGAAAAAAGGATCGCGAAACGCGAGGAGGCGGAAGAAGGAACGGTTAATTTGTTGTGCATCAGCAGCACCGGCAGCTACGAAGACAAGCTACGCCGAGAGAGGTACCGGGGTCGTACTAAGAAAATAACTAGAGATAATTACGCGCATAAATCAGAGTGTTAATATTCGGGGGCGTAGGTAGGAGGCGCACAGGTAGATAAATTCGCCTATAGGTAGAGGTAGGACCCGTGGATATATACATGAAGGAAAAAGAGAAAGGGAACGGGAGAGTCAAACGAGAGAAAGAGAGAGAGAAAGGAGACAACGCTAGACGGGGAGGATAAGAGAGAGAGCGGAATAATGCCAACTTTGGATCGGTAGATCATTCGTGTCCGTTGGATACGCCTCCTTGTTAGCCTGGGTTTACTTAGTCCTTCGACGCTCCTACGACGTGCGTTACGCCCGCTAATAGCCCACCGGTAACGAACTACCGTCGGCCTTTTTTGAGGACCTTTTAAGCGAAAACGCGTTTCTCCTCTCGCGCGCTGCCTCTTATCGATCATGGCCGTCATCGCGAGAAAGGATCGCCTCTCCTCGTCGAGGAGAGTCGTCTCTGAAAGCGAATTCCTTCCCACGTTCGCCAGACGGAAGGATACGCGCCACTTAAAGAGCAGTCCTTAGGGCGATATTCGTAATTTATCGGCCGCAAATGAAAGTGCTCGCTCGGGAGTACGCGCGAATTATTATTTCCAGTTCGTTCGCGCCGGATCATTCTCGATGTCGCTCGGACAAGGACGATATTCGTGCGGCATCGAAATTTTTCCCGATCGGCAGCGACCGACAGTGGCGAAAGAAAACAACAACGACAACCGGGTGAAAGAAAGGGGGAGAAGGGCGCACGGTGGCGTTGAAAACGCTCATAACAGGTGGACCGATACTCGGCTCCGAGATACATCTTCGAGGTGGGCGGTCCCGCACTCCTTAAATCAGCCCGCGGCCACACCATAACATTAAGCTCACCTCCTCCTCCTCCTCTCACGGCACTCTCTCATCTCCGGCCGTTTATTTGTTTGCTTAGAGCGAGTAATTAGAATCCGATACAAATGGTTATTATTTATCGGCATGGAGTGAGGGCGAGCGAGAGCCGACCGCGAGAGAGACCCGTACGAATGCACCAACGGAACGAACGGGGTATATACCTCCTGATTGCCTGGCGTTATTAAAGCGGGAGATACCACGAGATAAATACACGGAGGCCAAACCCGCAAATACCGGTCGCTATATAATATTGCCCGGGCGATCCTCGCTAACAGCTTTTATTCGTGAGCGACGCAGAACTCAATTACTACAGTGTTGTCCTCCGCGAATAATGCTATTAATAATTCGTTGAGTTTCATAAATATCTATCATCGCTCGTTTAAACCGGAATTTTTTCAATCTCGCTCGTAACTTGAGCAAATCGCTTAACGCGTCTTGAAATCAATTTTAATAAATATTCGATCGAGTTTCTAAGGAATGGGAAACGAGAGAGATGCGGGCTACGAGATAAAGTCTACGCGCGATCGGTGACAGTTGCAGCTGTCGAAGTGGTATAGAAGCGGGTTCGTGGAAATAAACATAATGGGGCTACCCGATCGAACAGCCGTGCGTCACGTCAAACCGACAATGCAACGGTCTTGCATTTCCGAGGAAAGCACGCGCGACTCACAGAAGCGAATCTATCGCGATGCCAGACGCATCCGTTAATAAAGTATAATGGGTAAGTATACTGTCACGATGCTGACGACAACGTACACCTGATTCACAGAATACAATGGCCATCCGTGACGTTTGGAAGTCACGAATCACGCGTATGTGAACGGACAATACGGGCTTGTAAACGATAAAATACAGAAAGGAGAAAGTACACGTCGTGACTGTCGCAGACAATAAGAGAAGATGTGACGCGTCGAATAAAAATGTCCGATTACTTTGCTATTTTCTTTACCTAAAAAAAAATACGAGAAAAATCAAAAGGGTTAAATTCTGCAAATTCGCGTTAAAATTTTCTCTTCAAATTTACAATCAAATATTTGATTGATTTGCTCGCAACAGGATCCTCGCGAGCAATGTCTAATTAGTAGAATATCGAATAATCGTCCGATTTATTTATTCCGACTAAGGGGGATAGAGATACGCCGGGGGTAACGTTGATTAGCTTCGGTGTTGATTTAATTATCGGGAGAGTAATTGGCATGCCTACTGACGATCCCGTTCCCTCTCGACTCTCTCCCCTTTCTTCCCCGGCACCCCCCGTGTCGCTTACTTCACCCAGCTCTCTAGCACCCTATCGAGTCACACCCTCTCCGGTCCAAACTCTGTTGCATATTCATCGATGATAGATTATTATATGTCTACGTGTACGAAGACTCTCGACGCGCGCAGGAACAATCGGTCTTGTATAATACAATATCTATTCGATACATGGTAGATACGTAATAGATCTACAACGGATTAAAATTTACGCGATTAACGCGATAATTTGGCGATCACTCGCTTTATGCTAATCTCCCCCGAAACGAGACGAAAAATTATCGACGCTCGAGTTTGTTTTTTTCGCTTTCCGAAGATCGTAAATTGGTTCATTCGCCTGGTTTATGCGTGTGTTTTGCGGAGGAGATACGGTGCGAATGAAAAAAAAAAAAAAAAAAAAAAAAACGATTTGGGTTCGCTACGGACGTATATAGGCGAGCGTATATCGCGGCGATGTTATCCGCAAACACGCGGGTTCGGCCAATTTATCCCAAGGGATGAGGCCGACGTGGCCCGGCCGGTGGTGGGTGTGGGGTAGCCTTGTCCAGCGGAATGAATTCAGCACGCAGCCCCTGTGCGGTCGAGCCGCCTCTCCTACCCCTTTCGCCGACCATCTCCAACCACCGTGCAACGTCCCCACCTTTTGATCACTTCACCCTCTCGTTCGCCCCTTCCTCTTTCTCGTTCAACGCTCGCGCGCGTTAAGGTTGCCTCAGATAGGAAAAACGTGTGACAAGAGAAGAGACGTTTAACGCGTACACAGCGTGCTTCGATTATAAAATTATTAACATGAGCCAATAAAATTGTATGACGTTTGATTAATTAATTTTAAAAGTATTATCTTTTGTTACTCCATTTACGTTTAAATTAGATTTCTTATGTATTGACAGTTAATTACTATTAATGCAGAATGTATGAAATATTTTATATTTGTATAAAATCTTAACTCTGACGCCCCACGGTATCGCCATGGAAGGGGTAGTCTCGTGGAACGCTTGACAGACGGAGATTTATAATCGATACAAGTGGTGTGAATGGCCCTTTAACCCGTCCGCTACCATCCGCCACTCCTGATCCGCTCCACATATCGCTAGCGCGGTATACAACGGCCGCTTGATTGCCACGGGGGCTCTTAGATTTATTGACCTGTCAATGGCGGCGCGCGAAAACGGCGAATTTACAACGCCGCAGGTGTTAAGTTCTGCCGTGCGTGTAATAACGGCCTGATCCCCAGGCCTTACAGTAAGCCACACACCGTAATTATATATTTCCAAACCTCCCGCCCGCTACCTTTGTCATTATCACCCGAAGTGGCGTGGTCGTAATTCAATGGAGATCTATTGCGCGTGCGTACATGAGTGATAAAAAACTGATAAATGTCGCGCGAATTTAGGAAATTTTTGCTACAAATCATACACATTCCTTCAAGACGAGATTGCGGCGTTTTCCCTTTTGTCTAGATATTAAAGTTATAGCTAATAATATTTTTGTCTCCATTTTAAGAGATGAGGAAGATGGTTCGGGCATAATTTGTACATCGTAATTAAAAGCGAAGCGATGCAAGTTTTCGATATCCTGGTTGAAAAAAGTTTCGCGTTATCGCTCGTCTTAGAGTTTCACGCGAAAGCTCACGAAATGATTTACGACCGGGTCAGAGCGAAATGATAGAGTAGACTCTTACCTTGAGCCTGGTAAGACGAGGTTCCTCGGCCGCGAGTTTCGCCAGCGCCTGGTAGTCCCCCTGCGCCGCCCTGACCAACCACTCCCGCGATTTTCCATCCAGTTGCTTTGAGGAAACATCGATCGCGATTATTAGCGATTAATGGCGTGAGAGGTCGATCGACGGAGGATCGATCGGCAACGCGCGGAAGATCGAGCGAGGCCCGTCCGATAGAGAGCAGGCGAATTTTAATTAAGATCCCCGGCCACGATCCTGGCGTGCATTCATCAAGGTGCACGTCCGACCGCGGAGAGGGAATTATGCCTCGTACAGCTCTCTCATCGGATTGGCGCGCGCAATAATCGCGATCTGCGGTGGGTGATGAACTTACCGAGGCAACGGAAGCGCTGTCATCCTCGTCGGCGCCCTGCGGAGAGAAGAAAGAGAGAGAGGGGTTAGAGCTGAGATCCGTCGAAAAATCAACATTACGCGCTACGTCACGCGGACGATCGCGCGCGCAACGCGGCGAAAACCGGTCCGCTGCATATGGCGTTGGCGTTGGTTGCACTTTGGAGAGTGCACCGACACATGTATGTGTGTATGTGTTTGTGAGGATGGCGAGAGAAAGAGAGAGAGAGGGAGGGGGGGAACGACAAGGGGGAAGAAAATGCGTGAGCGCAGCGGGAGGCCACCGCGCGCGCTTCGCCCATCAGATTGATATACGGATCCAATAATTGATTCTCCGGCGCAAGACCTTGGGAGGCTGACTGGCTGGGCCGCACGCACTTACGCAACTCCCGCCGTCCCGAGAACAGACGTCCCATTTCGGAAACGTCGTTTCTCCTTTCCCTCGATGCTCGGCAAATCGAACGATTCTCGATCACGATTATCAAAGTGACGGAGCACGTTTGAGATACTTTCGATAAAATTCTTATCGCCTTTATACGATGTACTCTCGGTATCGCTTACGATTCGTTTCGATCAAATCCTCGATAATATTCTAAAATCGCGAATAACGCTTTTTAACGAGAAGTTCGTCGTTTAATCGCGTTCGCGTATAACCGATCTTCGGTGCAACGTTCCACGTTATACACGTGATACCACGGTAGAGGATGACGCCGACGACGAAGGTGGCGGCTGTGGAGAGAGCGGAAAGGGTTCTCTCCCGATCCCAGGAACGCTAAACGACTACTCATCCCTGTTAAACTGTTTGTATTTTCACTCGTCACGGCCACGTCGGTTGTTCGAGGTGCTCATATCGACACTCGGCTCCGAATCGATCGTGACTCTTCATAAATTACAGGGCCGACCGCGCGAGAGACGCGCAATTTGGCCGAGTCATCATTAGCCGGCCACGATATATCTCTATCCATCGACAACATCGCGCGTGTCCTTAAGTGAAATCACGTTTCGAAGGACGCGCGAGACGAGTACGCCCCGACATTCCGACGTTAATCCAATTTCCCCTTCCTCCCCCTTCCTCATGTCGAAAGGAGAGAATCGACGGCTACGTCGCGTTCGCGCGAGAGTATTTCGGAGATCTCTTCCGGAAATTTCATCTCTTCACGAAATGATAGTCACTGACCCCCCGTCGCATCAGGTGATGCATCGAGGTGCGTTCCCAGCTTTCGTGCTCGCTACGTGTGCTCTCGCAAACACGCCTGTACGCGTGCGAATGCACAGATGCACGCCGATAGGACGGACTTTGTTATACGCATGCCATCGGAGAAGCCATACTTCATCGGCGACGTAACAATTGTATTCGCGACAAAAAGACATTACTGTCTGGCGGAAACGAAAACACACTCGGTTGAATTAATATTTAATTTCAACCTCTCTCATTATATCGGGCAACTGTTTTACTCACTAACAATCCGTATAAGACTGAATGAAAAACGCACCCGCTTTTTATTTCTCTCGCATAAATTGCGTAAGAGCACCTGGTAAAGAAACACGTAGAGATCCTCGATTATTAATAAAGCACATATAAGAATATGTATAAAGAGAGAACCGATTCTCAAAAATTTCTCCCCGCATATGTTTCGAGATTAATATGTAAATTATCGCGAAATTATGCAAGCAACGAAAACCCGGCTGGATTCGTCGACATTTTTACCAAAGAGATTTCGAGGAGAAAGATTCCGATGCTCGAGAGACCGAAAAATCTCCAATCTCGATGATGGAAAGACAGCAACGCGGATGTTCGCGATCATACGGTATTCCGCCGTTCATTGCGCGAGTCGCTGATTGATTTTTAAGCGATCGCGCGATACGAAGATCTTCGATGAGATGCATAGGGAGGGACGCAGAGACACTGGTTCGCTCGTATCTCGAGCTATCCCGGAGATATGCAAATGTTCTCATCCTCCCGTGGCGCGAGAGGTCTCCACGAACGATCAGACAAACGGGCCAGTCAGCGACGGCGCACATGGACCATAATGGCGCGGTTATCAGATAAGCTTATAAGACCCGGGTAATCGTAATAGCATCGCGATGGCGATTTCTCCAGCTCCATCGCGAACGGCGGATGAACGAGAAGAAGCGAATCGCCCATTCCACCCTTCCAGCTGGCCTCTTTCGACGAGTCATTGTTCCACCGTAATTAATATTTTAATTGAGATCAGCGGGAATTAATTAACGCAACAGGCCTGTTAAAGTCCTTCGTTCGCGAACCGATCAATCGCGATTCACTTGTCAGGATCGAGATTTAATTCGCCCTCGTCTCTTAAATATCTCTATCAGACGTAAAACGATCGAGGATACGATTCATCGCGACAAGAATAATAATCAGCGAGTAAATTGATCGCCGGCATATCTTATCGAGAAAAGAAGAGAAATAATTCGCCCGTTATATATCGAATATTAACAAATTATACTCTTCCATCGGGGATAATCCGGATATCTGAGAGTGGATGATATTCCACCGTAACAGCGGATATATGTACGCGCAGATGTATGGACGTGCTCGTATATCACGTTCGTAATCGGATAAAAAGCTAACGGACGCGACGCATACAAGCCGCGTAATCACTTAGGACGTGATCCTAGCACGAGCGGACGAGCGAGCCAAGTATCATAGAAATGGATACAAAGGGGCCATCAGCAGCCACGGTAACGAGCCGGCCGACCTACCCCTTCCCTCCCTTTCTCCCCCCTTACACATCCGTATCTCCCATTGTTATCGCTCTTCGTGGCGCATCAGCGCCGACTCAAAAACACGCTCGCCCGGCAGTTAAGCCGCGCACATTCGCGCGTCTAATTCCGGCGAATGTGGCCAGCGGCAGGTACTCAACTACTCAGCGGGCATATGCACGTGCTTACTCGCGCCCTCCCTTCGTCGCTTCTCTCGAACAATAAAAGGAATACGCGATGTAAAGCGAATAGCGAACGCGCGTTTCTCGTCGGGGTGGAAACGTTTTAATAAGCAGACGTGCGCCGCTGCCCTCCGAGGGGGCGTATAAATATATTCGGTTGCTCTAACGGCGCGCGAGCGACTCGCCGCGAAAGAGAGAGAGAGAGAGAGAGAGAGAGAAAGAGAAGGAGAGATACGAGAGAGACTACTACGGGGTGCACACGGGGAGCGGATATATCGGCGAGACGATGAAGGGGGAGAGCGGGGGAGGGGGAGGGGGCAGACGTGGTAGAACGAGAGGCAAAACATGTTGCGGCACGAGCTGCCTCGAGAGCTCCGCGGAATTAGCTTTATTATAACCTGGGGGCCATCCATACACGCCTAACAGCGCACGAACATTCGCCGGCCAATAAGCCAAATGCTAACCAAACATTTTCGCGACTCGGCGTACCCTACAATTCATCCCTCGCCTCGCGCCCCCTCCCCCCGACCGCTCCTGCCGTGCCGAAAAGTCCGGTAAGGAGGATCGATTCTGATTAAAGCGGGATGTGTATTTAATGCGACCATAGGTCGATGAAACGTGAGAAGTGATAACGATTCGTCGTGTGTTTAACTCTTCGCCGGCAGACACCAAATCACTCCTGACCCATATATTGTACAAAAATGTCAATAATAATAATTATTATTATTAATACATTTTTATTAAATATCTTTCTTTCTCTTTTAATTGTTACATATAAATAGAATTTTAAGAAAAAAAACATTTAAGAGAGAAAAAAAATACTATATAAATAGTACTTTTTTTATATATTTTATAATAT